AGAGAGAGAGAGAGAGAGAGAGAGAGAGAGAGAGAGAGAGAGAGAGAGAGAGGAGGGACATTGCATCCTTCTTGTGGGACATGGACAGAATGCAGCACAGCAACAAGAATAGCAGAACAGAGGAAGGAGCCGAGGGGGGAAGTGGGTAATCAGACAGAAGGGGATAGGAAGTGACAACTGGTAGGAAGAAAGCACCACAGCAACTTTCCAAAACCATGCCCTGTTGGTGGCCTTGGCAGAGGATTTTGCCACTCTCAGGGAAGAAGTGAAACCCCAGATCATTATGTGGACATGTAGAGAGGCAGCAGAAAGCAAAAGGGTCTTGCGGACAAGGGGGGAGGAGGGAGAAAGTTGCTGAGCAAAGTGCAAGGCAAAAGTATTAAGGGGTTATAATGCCTCCATACTTTTGACTTGCACCAATCCCTCTGCCAAATGCAACTGCCCAACCACACATTGTGGTAAACAGGTGATGCACCTGGCCAGGTGCACGTGATGTACACTCTGAGTGAGGCAACAGAGCAACTACGAGGCAAATTATGAAGGCGTTGAGCCCAAAACAACGAAAGGCCACCACACAACGGACCCAAAACACCCAAAAAGCCAGCACAAACTGGTGCGGACAATACAAACTGAGTATGAATGGTGCTGGCTCAGGACAGGAGTAGTGGTATATGTGGGGGTTGGTCATCTGGTTGGTCAATTTGTGGGTTGGTCGGTTGGCTGGGTAAGTCATTACGTGTTGATCTTGCATGCCGCGGCGTCTGGCACAACAGTAGTGGGCGTGCCTCCCCTTGCTGCTGTCCGATCGCAGGCCCCATCAAAAGTTATCCCCTCGTTAACCTCATTGAGAAAAAATGCTGGACACCCCCCTGTGCATTGCTCCGAGGGATCCGACAGTGTCGTCAGCGTAGGCTTGCAAACAGAGATATTCACAAGGTGCTCAGGGGTTTCACCCCCGCCACAGATGGCGCACTTTCCGGTCCCAGGTGCACCATATATCCACTGGGTTGAATCTGGGCCTTTGTAATCCCCGTACGTTGTCCGCTGGGAGCTAGTGGTGAACGTCTGGATACCACTGGATGGGGCGCACTCAATTGAGCAGTAGTGCATGTTGGGATACAGGTAAATGAGGAAGTCAATAGGAATCGAGATATTGCCATCGTAGTGAGCGACTAATCCTGCCACTGCGTCGGGATCTTGGGACGGGCTGCTGACCATGACCACAAGGTTGTAGAAACCTGACTTCTTGGGTGGCTTTAACGGAATCTCAGGGAACGTCCCGTTCTCATACGGGTTAGGGTCGGCTTCAAACGGAGAGAGACCAGCTTCCCAGGATACGATTCCGGAAACAATATCGATCGTCAGGTCATTGGGGGCCTTCGCATAGTCAATTTCATCATCCCACTCCGGCATGCCAGGGGGTTCCCGCCCTGCGGCGATTGCTCGTGCAGCCACTTTGGCTTTCTCCGCTTCGAAATCCTCCCGAGTCCAGGTGACAAACATAGACTCCGGCAGGATGTGCTGCAGGATATATCCATGTTCCGTCCTCGTCCCAATCCTGAAGTAGACAGGGTCCGTCCCATAGTCCCGAAGGTCAGGATCATAAGCTGCCACCTGGAAAGTTATGCCAAATCCGTACTGAGAACGTACATTACGCGGGGTGTACGGAACCGGAAGCACAGGAAGGCCCTTCGCCACAGGCGAGCAATTGTCACCGGAGATATCGACAGTGCTCTCTAATCTGTACCGTCCATTGGGGTTGTTGTTGAGCTCCCGGATCCTGTTGCCTCCGGTGAAATAGGCAAGCCATGGCTGCTGGTTCATCGGGTTCCGTGGGCCAGAATACGTGTGGTTGAAGACCGAAGACCCTCGGATGTAGTTGCCAATCCGGCTGAGTTCGAACACCACCTCAGTGAGAGGAAGAAGCAGGTCCATGCTGGTACCATCTCCAAAGAACCATCCAGCAGTCTCGGACCAAGGGGAGCAGGGTAAACCCTCGGAAGCATTCCCCGCATACTCAAAGGGTGTGTCGCACTGACGGGGATTGCCAGGTGGCATTAGCGGAAGCCCGTATGGGCCCGTAACCACCGGGAACTTCAGCATATACCCTCTCGTGTAATCAATGGTGGGATCGAAGTTGAAGTTTTGAAACCGCCTCTCTGCCACATTAGTCCTCCATGTCCTCCCCTTGTCCGGCGACCACGCCTCCCCATACCATTTTCCCCATTCGTAGTTTCTCTTGAAGGCCAAAGACACTCGAAATAGTACCGTGTTTTCCAATCTTCTCTTCGTCAATCGATCCCTCATAGTGCACCAGGATATCGTTCCAAAACGGAAGTGAGTGGCTGCAAACAAACACAAACACACAGTTATATGCAGACAGCGAGAGAGGCCGCACAAACACTCACACCACACATGAGGGCCACGGGACACATGAGATCGACCAGCCGTTCCAAGATACGACTCCCACTCAGGGCACACTCAAACTACGACTTTCCTGGATGCACATGACCTCTTTTCCAGCCCCACCTGAATGCACTTGACCACAATTCCGTGGACAGAAAGTCCAAAAAGTCCTAGTGTGACTATGCCCTCAATGGAGCACATGAGATACGCCAGCTGGCATCATGCGCCCCAGAATGAAAAGAGCCTTCAAAAACGGATGTTTTCCTTTCTCAAGGACCGAAAGGGCGGGAGAAGGCGTCCCATGGAAACCGCTTGCTTGACCAACGGGGCCAGCCCAGTTTGTACACCCATGAACTGTTGAAACATAGACCTGAGTTCAAACCCAGACGGAACTAGATGACCAAAATACCTGAATTACCTGGTTCCGATCAACTCAGTGCTGAAATCTCGAGACTGCCGCCCCGCTTGGTTGGTTGGCAAGCGACAAACACAGCCCGGTCATAATCCACCTGGTCCTCAAAAATGTCAGGTGAATGGTCCGCACCTGACCCCTTTTAGTCCCCACATACGTTCTGCGCAGGGAGGGCCATTGACGTCTCCCAACAGTCTGCAGGGGGTCGCTTGACCTCCACTCCACCCCTCCCCAAAACGGGTAAAACGAATTAACAGCCTGAAAATTGATGACGGGAACAGATAGTACTCGTGGGGGGAAACCACATGCAGCACATCTGCCCTCGAGAGAGCCTCACAAAGAACTTATCACCACTTTAACCAACACATTGCTGTTCTCACCTACAGGTAGTTCTAATACAATGTTGTCAGCTTGTCACCTAATCCCAACATAATGTGACGGTATCTTTCAAGCTCACAGTGTGTGCTCCATCTTGGGTATACAGCACATAATCATGTCCACACGTTCCAATGATCAGCGAAAATAAAGCCATCAGAGAAAGTGGCATTATGGGCTAGCAAGTAAACCATTGCAGCAGTCGATAGTATAGTTCTCCTCCTCAATAAGCAATCAATCTATCGGTCAATCAATCAATAAATCAACCATAATCAATCAATCAATCTCAATCAAATTTCAATCAATCAAAAATGCTAATTAAAACTGATTCAATCAATCAATAAATCCATCCATAAATCAATCAATCAATCAAACCCCAATCAAATCTCAATGAGATCTCAATCAAATCTCAATCAGTAAATCAAATCCCAATCAAATCTCCATGAGATCTCAATCACATCTCCATCAAATCTCAATCACTCAATCAAATCCCAATCAAATCTCAATCACATCTCAATCGCTCAATCACTCAATCACTCAATCAATCAATCAATCAATCAATCAATCAATCAATCGACAGATCACATCTCAAATCTCAATCAATTTATCGATCAAATCTCAATCAATCAATCAATCAATCAATCAATCAATCAATCAATCGATCGATCAAATCTCAATCGATCAATTCTCACTCACTCACTCAATCAATCAACTAGGCGATTAATCAAGCAATGATCAGGCCCAATTAATTCGAGGACTACGGAAAGAGTTGGAATTCAAAAAGCAAACCAAAAAAAAAAAAAAAAAAAAACGGCGATGCTTGTGGCGCGGTTTTCGTCACTGCTGGGTAGCAGGAGAAATGAACAGTGCTGAATCAGATGCTCTTGTATGGAGGGAAACGACGAGGGAAAGAGTTGGGAATTAAAAAAAAAAAAAAAAAAAAAAAAAAAAAAAAAAAAAAAACGTGAGCGCCCCTCGTGCGTGCAACATTACCCCAAGATGATGTGTGAGGGGAAATTGACGCTCAAGAGCCCTCGTGCGTTGTCGGTATCCCAACATGACGCATGCCGTTCTTTGCCTGGCGAAGCCCTCGTTGCGTTGCGGATCTCTCACTGCTGCGACCGGCCGCCAACGTCAATGGTCGTAGCAGCAGAGCGGAACAATTGTCAGCTACGACCATCTCTGCTACGACTCTTTCTCTCGTGCGTGCGACCAGTGACGGATGGAGAGGGGCAAGTTTTGCAAAGAGGAAAAGAACAGATGATTAGAATGGTGCCCCAGGCATAAAAAAAAAAAAAAGAAAAAAAAAAAAGAAAGAGAATGACATCGGCCTATCAAGAAAAGGACAAGCACAGACACCAATCTTTCAACGTGTGTCGTCCTGACACGTGGACATTAATCAGCGATGAGCGGGCGTTACAAACACACACACACACACACACGCTGACACACACACACACACACACACACACACACACAAAGAGAAAAAAGAGGCTAGATGAGGACTCCTGGTTGCTGATTAGTTGGCTATTGATTGATAGCTAATGGATGATCTACTCACGAATAATTGATGATCAATTGAGAATCAAGTGATAATTCCAAGGATCGTAACAGGGGGCAAGAAAAACGAACGAAAAAAAATGAAAGAAAGAAAGGGTAAGAGAAAACAAACAAACAAACAAACAAACAAACAAACAAACAAACAAAAAATCCAAAAAAAAACAAAAACGCCTTGAAGAATCGATAAACTACGTCAGTAGCAAGTGTCCCCCGCGCCATTACGCTGATCGTACAATCACTCAATCGTTGTGAAACAATGGCCACAGCGCCGAGCAAAAAAAACCCTGGTAGTCACGCAGTAGCCGTGCTGCATATTCACCCTCCAAACACATGCCGCACAGCAGCCGCACCATTCAGCCGCCAAACACTCGTCACACAGTAGCCGCACCATTCAGTGATCAGACCATGGACACAGTTGAGGTGAAGGAAAAAAAAAAAAAAAAAAAAAAAAANGAAAAAATGGCCACAGAGTCGACATTCACCCGCCAAAACATAACGTTCTTTACCCGAAAAGAACGCCCCGTCATTGTCGCCGTATTTGGAGCATCTTTCAGTCCAGATGCGGCGATAATGACGTTCTACTTGGGTGAAGGCGGTAGTCGCGCAGCAGTACCCGTACAACCATTCACCCTCCAAACATACGCCACACAGCAGCCGCAGCATTACACTGGTCATCACAGTAGTCGCTCAAGCAGTGGCCATAGCCAAACACACTACGTAATCACTCAATAGCCGCGCCATTCAGCCGAACACTAGTCATACAATCGCCGCTCGATCTCCGGTAAACACTACCGTCTTCACCCGAATAGAACGCCCGGTCATTATCGCTGCATCTGGACCGAAAGTTGTGCCAAATTATGAAGCTATAATGACCGGGCGCTCTATTCGGGTGAAGACGGTAGTCACAGAATAGCCGCACCATTCAGGAGCCAAGTACTCGTCACACAGGAGACGCCAGTCTGCATCAACCCTCTCGCCTCACAGTTGTCGCACACTCTCCACACAGTTGTCACACACTCTCCACACAGTTGCCGCACACTCTCCACACAGTTGCCGCACACTCTCCACACAGTTGTCGCACACTCTCCACAAAGTTGTCGCACACTCTCCACACAGTTGTCACACACTCTCCACACAGTTGTCGCACACTCTCCACACAGTCCTCACTAAGTCGCCGTCAAATCGCAACACAGTCCTCCTCAAGATCGCCCGACTTTGGAAGCATATCCTTGAGTAGTGTCGACGTCACCAGTCCATTGGCCAACCAATCCAATTTGCCCGAATGGATTAAGAAGACGAACGACCCAGATCAACTCCTTCACGAACCAGTGTCCCCATGCAAGTGGCACCTGTCCAATATTCTCTCTCTCTCTCTCTCTCTCTCTCTCTCTCTCTCTCTCTCTCTCTCTCTCTCTCTCTCTCTCTCTCTCTCTATCTATCTATCTATCTATCTATCTATCTCTGTGATAGGAGATCGACGGTCGTCAAAACGAAGGCCATTGGAATTGATATTGATCGTCATGGACAAACTGCCCGATTCATGACCGGCGCTGAACTGCAGTACACCTCCTCACTCTCCCCTGTCTCCGTCCTCTTCTTACTTTTCATGAGCACACTGATCACGGTAGAATCACTTGCTAATTACCCCTGGTTGATGTCTTCCGCCGCCACCCCCCACCTCCCCCCACTACCCTTCTTCCCCCCCATTAACCCTCCCTCTTCCCTCTTGCGCAGGTAAACGGAGTGGGCTTGCGACGAGCCCCCTGCCGATTGCGCGCATTGGAGCGCAGTAACCGCGCGGTAATTCGTCCGTCTACCTTTCTCACGGTGATTATTTTCATATAATAAGTAATGGTGGAACCTTATTTGATCAACGGTGGAGGATCCCCCGCTTGCCGCTATCGCTCTCCCCCGCCCTGAGCCCTAAACCCTAAACCCTGAACCCCTGAGCCCCTAAACCCCTAAACCCTAATTAGAACCCGAATAGAACGCATGGGTATTTTAGGTGCACGTGTCGCTAAAATTGCACGACATAGAGCCGTACCATAATGGGCACGGGCTCGATTCAACGGAAGCCCATAAAACAATAACGAGTGCCACAATCTTGCGTGTGCCAGCAGCCCTGTCAAGCGCGTCTGCACATCTCTCTCTCTCTCTCAATCTCTCTCTCTCTCTCTCTCTCTCTCTCTCTCTCTCTCTCTCTCTCTCTCTCTCTCTCTCTC